CCTGGTCACTCCTTGCCATGGGTCCCTCTGCCAGCACATCCCCATCCCTGCACTTCCTGTATATTAGGGGACACACATCCCAATAGACTCCATTTTTTCCGCCTCCAGGGTCTAGACTTGGATTTCTCTTGCTGGAAGCACGTCACTGCTCCCAGCTACATGCTGTCCTCAAAGCAGCTTCTACTCAACCTTTACTGGGAAGCCAGCAGAGGAAGAGCTTCACTGCGCCCACCTCACCACTTGGCCACAGCCAAGTCTCATCCCATGGATGCTTCGCCCAGGGCTTGGAACAGGGATTCTGCCTTTCCTTGCTGCCAGCCAACTTCTTCAGTAGGAACTGGCGAGCAGCTTTCGCTGCCCACTCCTGTGAGACACAGCTCCAGGGGATGATGCTGCCCACCACAGCACCGAGCAGGATAGGGCAGTGCCGGCAGCATCACTCATGGGGACACACCAGCAGCCAGGGCAGGATGGACCCGGTGCCACTGGGAATGCCACAGTGCTGCCAGGAACACAAAGCTGCCGAGAGAGACCAACAAAACCCGTCGCATGTCAAAGTACATCTCCTGCCTACACATCATTCCTAAGTCACAATGAGACATTCGCAGATCAGAGTTGAAAATGAACACTTTATGAATGACAAGTTTTATTTTTTTCATGTACCTGGGGCTTTTTTCTGAAGTCTATTGAATTATTCCAGCACAGCCAACAAAGGCGGAGGCTGGGGAAGCTTTTTACAGTGAATTCTGGTGGGGCGCTGGCCCAGAGGCAGTCGGTAGTCTTGGATGGGAAACCAACTCGAAGGCTGGGGAAGCACGACCCACTGCTCTGCTGGGAAGGACCTCAGTGTCCTCGTCCCTGCTTATTTCCACACAACGGCTCATCCACCTCCATCCAGGCTGGATTTCTCCTCCTTCCCCTGCTGTTGATTGGTACTGGAGAGGCCGAGTCGCTTGGTGGCGAGGAGAGGACACATCCTCCTCCACTTGGGGGTACCACTGCAGGTCTCCATCATGCTCCATGAGCATTGCACCCTGCGACCCCAGGCGAGAGCTTCACTGCAGCATCACTGGTCCTGCCATGGGTGGCGTAGGTGATTCACCCCAGCTTGGGCAAGAAGCACTGGAAAGAGCTGAAGCCTCACCAGAAACACCCATGGTCCTCACTGCGTGGCTCCAGGCGAAGGCATCCAGCACGATGCTGGAAGGAGGCTTTAGAACAGCTTCTTCTTGCAGAGCTACTGGGGCCATGGGGAGAAACTGATGAAGCCGGAAAGCAGCAGCGACTCAGTGGCAGACAAAACCTCATTTCACGAGGAATCCTCATAAAACCAAATTAATGTTGAAGGATGAAGGCAGGTAAACCTCCCACAGTTAAGTTCAGGCCACAGAGACTCAGTTTAAATCTCCCAGCAGTTCTGATTTAATCAATGCATTTCAAAGTGAAATTAGATGAAGTACATCTCCATCACGGGAAATTATGTAAGCTATCAAAGTCTGTAGGTGCAGGTCCTGGTAAGCGCCACAGGAAATATTCATAACAACTCAGATTCCATTTTTAAGGAGGCAGTTCAGGTCCAGAGTTTGATATTATTCCAGTGGAAAAAAAAAAATCACTCCTATGAAAACCACGTCCCCAAGGTGAAGAAAGGCCAGAACAGCAGCTTCGGTAACATCCCCAAGAAGACTCATCGGGTCACCCTCTCCCTGCAGTACCATCCAAGGAAGGAGGAAGGAAAAACCCTGTGTTTTAAATGAGGGGGCAAAAGTGCTAATGAGGCCACTGCATCCTCCCTGCTGATCCCACCCGACACACTCAGCTTCCAGGAGTTATCCTGCTGGAATAGTTTTGGTCTCAAACCCAAACTGCCGTAACCCACCTCAGCATCACCTGTCCTTAACGGGAATAACGAGTACTGCGACCCGGAGCGGAGCGGCTCCGCATATTGATTCCCGTAATCTTTCCTTGCAGCCCTGCTCCCGTTCGCTGTGTTTCCAGGCTCAGGCATGCATACATTTCCATAATGAACCTCAGACCTGTCGGGAGTCCCGTGGATTATTCACACCCCGTGGAGCTGTTGTGCAGAGCCGCTCACATCCACACAGACACCACTGCCAATGAGCCGTGCTGGGAAACCTCCCGGCTCAACCTGGGCGAGGAGAGGCAGGCAGGAGGTTATCGGGACACCTGGGGAGCTCCTCTCTCCCTCCCTGTGGCTCTCCTCAGCGGGCTGGGCCTTGAGGCCACAGCAGCATCTCCCTTTCAACTGATGAGAAAGCAAACCCAGGCTGTGGTGCTGCGGTGCATGGGGCAGACAGGCAGCAGCTCCCCCATCCCATGACACAGAGCAGCCCCTGAAGCACCCCAGTAGAGCAGCAGCTCCATGACCACGGGGCATTCCACCTGTCACCCCACTGAGGCACCACCAATGCAAGGCGACAGCCCTGGTGTTATCACAACGATAGTTCATGCTCTGGGGAAGAGGATGCTCGAGCCCCACGCGATCCCGCTGCCTCATCTGTGGAACTGCTGCCGGTCGGGAAGGATGAACCGCTGCATAAAAGCGCAGTTTATTGGAGCATTATCGTGGCTGTTAAGTATCATAGCCGGTGACACCAGCCGCACTTCGGTGGCAATCAATTCACCTGAGAGCAGCCAGCTCAGCCCCTGCGTGGATGCAGGATGAGTAAGGACTCCTCAGTGGAGGCCATTAACTCCCACTGCTTACTGCTCTCATTACTTTCCAGACTGCAAGGCTTGCATCTTTGACGAGCGGCTGAATCTACATTTGACAGCGTGAACTTGATGAGTGAAATTCATGGAAAATGTTTGCTTTGGCAGGATCTACAAGGCCCATAAAGTTTCCTCGGTGCCAACGCGCAGGGATGTATGCTTTTAACGAGCGGTTTTACACAAGCGGGAAGAAATTGCACATGGTGTTTTCACTCCTACTGCAAATCACTCCGGAGCTAAACGCTGTTAAAAATCGTGGCATATTGTTTAAAGTATTACATTCGGAGAGACGGAAGGGAAGTCCTCAGCCAGCGCTGGAAGCCAGGCAGACAGCACGCTGCAGAAAGCTGCCATGCCCTGCCAGGCAGGCACAGGCACTGACGCAGACGCATGCACGCACATACATGTTGGTGCACACGCGGGGAGCCACGGTCACTGCTGTCCCCCCCCCCCCAAATGACAAACCCAAGCCCCACGGTGCCCATGCTCAGGACCGGGCAGCACTGAGCTGCTCCATGCAGGACCAAGGGCAGGGTGGCTTTGGGTCCGCAGGTCTCACCCTCCACAGAGCAAGAGCAAGGCTGGCCCCAAGGTCAGGCAGCTCCTGCTGCCCCAGGGAGAAAGAACCCGGCTTGACTGGAGCGGTACGGTACCATCAGTAGCTCTGGTCACAGCCTGTGCAGGGTGGAATGGGCGCTGGAAGGATCTGCTGCTTCTCTGGGAGCGATCTTTCTAGCAGTCTTGAAGAAAATGAGGGGAAATGACATGGGAAATGTCAGAAATAAAGCCAGAAGCAATTAAGAGCGAAGCGAGAGCAGCTGGCAAGGTTAGCAGTAAAGTTACCTCTTATTAAAAATAAAACATGGAGGGGCTGGAAGCCGAGGAGGTGGCAGAGGACGGCCTGGCACTGGGAATCCAGGGTACACAGCAAAGAAATTCACAAGGCAAAACCAAGGAGAGAAGCGACCGAGAGGCTCCTGCTCTCATTGCTAAACTCTTTGCAAAATAAGAAAGCAGAGGGCATCCATCCTCTGCCTCCAAGATCGGAGCCTCGGGAACCAGCCCTCCAGCTCCACCGCCTTTTCAGACATCCAAAATCAAACCACCTCGGGTGCCTTCCCTAGGAGCAATCCCTAAGGTCACTACATCACCGCAGACTCCCAGGAGACTCTGTCCTTCCCACACACAGCAGTGCATCCCCGGCAGACGGACGGACGGACGGATGACTCTGGGAAGGTGCTCGCCTGCCCGGGCTGCCATCGGATGGGGATACAGGGAACTGGGTTACCACGAGCCTCTGGAATACTGTGCACGGCACACGCGAGTGTGCAACAAAAGCCGAGGGCTCCTCGGCACACACAAAACCTCAGTTCAAGTTTCACCCTCCCGGACGCCAGCCAAAGCCCAGGCAGAGGGACAAAGCCTCCGGCAGCTCCCAAGGGCGATGGACAAAGGCCTCTAAGCAGCATCCGCGGCAATGGGGGGGCCCTGCCTGCCTCACCCCCCACACCCCAAAGCCGCAGCCATATTGGGCTCCTCTAGTTGCTGCGTGGGGTAGGGCTGGGGGGAGGGGGTCGCATCCCCCCACTCACCCAGCAGCCATCCGGGGAGCCAAGTCCTGCTCCCTGTGGAGCAGCCGCAGATCCCGGTGGGAGCGGGGCTGCCGCGTGGGAACCGTCGAGCAGTGAGACCCCAACCCGCTGCCCCGCTCGAAGGGGGGAGGCTGGGGCAGGCTGTGGCCCCCTGCCCACATGAATCAGGGTTTCTTCAATACATGGTAATGGATGAGGTGGAGAAACGGATCGCGAATCTCACAGCAGCGGACTTTTCCTTACGGTCTCACTTGCCTAACCCGCCGCGCTGTACCTATGCGTGTCCCACCGGGACCGGCTCCATGCCCGGCGCTCCCGGGCTGCGGGGCCGTGCGGCCGGCGCTCTGCAGCCACCGGTTCCAGGGAAATAACAAGATTTGGGCTCAAGATGACTTCGCAGCGGTAATGAAAACGTGTTACGTAACACTTTGACTCCCTCTCCCCTGCTCCGCAATTCTCGATTAATCTCCCCAACAACGCAGCCATCCCCTCCGCCCGCCGCCGAACGGGGCGGCCCCGACACCGTGCCCGGAGCGGGACCGCCCGTGCCGAGCCGCCCCGCTCTCAGCCCGCACCCGCTCCGGCAAGTTGGGGCTGGAACTCCGCGACCGCTCCCCGAGCGCGGCCGCGCAGCCGGAGCCCCCCCCAAACCCCGCTCCGCGCCCCGGCCCCTACCTGCTTCCCGAGAGCCGTCGCATCCACATCGTCACGTCTCCCGGCCGGCCCGGCGGGGCTCACCGCCTCAGCTCTCCATCCGGGCGCGCCGCCCCGCGCCCGCGGCAGCGCTCAGCGGCGGGGCAGGCGGCGGGGCCGCGGCGGGCATCGCCCGGGGGCCTCAAGGCGCGGGAGGACGAGGCCGGCGCTCTGCGGCCCCGGACCCTCCCTCCTTCCCTCCGCTCAGCACCGCCGGGGCAGCTGCGCGCCCGCGGAGGCTCCGCGCCCCATGCGCGGCGGGCTCGGCTCCTGGGCTCGGCGCGCCCGCGCCTGTGCGCGCACCCGCGGGGCGGGGGCCGCGGCTCGGGGAAGTTGCGCGGGGAGGAGGCGGGGGCGGAGCGCGGCCCCTTCGCGCCGCGGCGGGGCGGGGACGGGACCGGGACCGGGACCCGCGGAGGCAGCGGGCAGCGACCCCGCAGCGCGGCCCCCGGCGCTGGCCCCGCGGGGAGCGGCCGTTCCCTCCGCAGGACCCGGCGTCGGCCACGAACTCCCCTTCGGCCGCGCGGCGGAGCGCTCCTTCCTCTCCTCCTCTTCGTCTCCCTCCAGCCGAGCCCCGCGGAGTTGCGCGCGTTGGCCGGGCCCGGTCCGTGTCCCCGCGGGCGCGGTTCCTCCAGCGCCGCGCTGCCGGCGATCGCTCGGGAAAGGGTCCGCGTGTTCGGTGCGGGCGGAGCTGGGGCTGCCCCGCACCTCGGCACCCGCCGCCCGGGCTGCGGCGAGCTCCACCCGCCGGCCGAGCGAGCAGGCGCGGCTCCGAGCCGCCGCCGTCCCGCTCCCCGAGCCTCGTCCTCCCGCGGAGCCCGGCGCAAAGTTCGTGTCTTTGTGCTCCGCGCTCGCTCAGCGCCAGGGGAGCACAGAGGGGACGAGCGAACGTCTGGGGAAGGCTTCGGCTGGTTTAGGAGGGGTTTCATCAGAGCCCCATGCGGTCTCCCTCTTTCCGGGGGTGCTGCCTTGGTTAAGAAGCTAAATTGTTCCTGTAGCTGATGTATGGAAAGGCAAGTGTCTCTCTTGAACAGACAAGCCTCTCTGGATGGTTTCTGTGCGGGTGCTGCAATAAAATAAGGTTTTGTGTGAATTTGGGGACGGATTCTTTGTAGCTGCTCCTGGAGCAGGGAACGGAACGCGGTCTGCAGAGCCAGCCCTGCCCAGGGACAGCCGGCAGCATTCCCACCACCGCGGCTCGCTGCCTTCAAAGCAGGCACGCCAAAAAGCAGGACTCGAGTAGAAACGAGTACCCCTCCGCTGCCTTTCTGAGTCGCTGGCTCTTTCCTGCCTCCGTATGAACTTACTCTAGAAGCAGAAGGAGCCTCCTTCGCACAAGGCAGCGATGAGAGGTCACCATTGTCCCTCTGAGCCTCACAGGTCCCTGCTCCCTGTGTGTGCTCCCGGTAGATGGGCTCCAGCTGCCACTAGAAGTGCTGTAGTCCAGCTTCCAAACCCCCGCGTTTCCTGGAGCTGGATTCCTGGTCAGAAGGAATCTGCTCTGGGCAGGATGAAATCTCAGGGGTTGGTCTGAAGGACAGCTCACACCATGAGATGTCAACCACTGGGCAGACAAACCTCTGCCCAGGCCCAAGCAGAACCAGGGCTACAACGGTATCCTAAACAATGGCCAGGCCGAGCTTGGGTTTTCCCTAAGTGTGCTTCTAACCTGCTGGGGCAGGTTGGGGATGGTTCCACTGGAGCCACCTGTGAATCCCAGTCTGCAGGGCAGGTGATGGTCCTCCTCAGAATGAAGGCGCTTACACAGCTCAGCTCTGACCAGAGAGAGCCACCAGCTCAAGGGGTGTCCATCACATGCAAACCCATGGCTGTATGCATGTTCTGCTGCACACGTGTTACGCTGCACGTGTGTTCAGCTGTACCCATGTTCACAGCTGCAGATTACAACAGCTTCAGCAAAATGCATATCAAAGCACGACACTCACCTGGATGCAGTCGTTCCGGGGGCTGGATGTGACTTGAAAGTGAAAGCGACTTGAAAGGGAAAGCTCGGCTTTGCTACAAGCCCACTGACTTTATCATCCATTAAACCCGGCTAACGAACATGAAAGATCTTCAGAGAGAAGAAGGGAAGAGCGCGCAATTGTCAGTCTCACAAGAGGCTGTTCTGGAGCCTGAGAGATACTGGGATGCAGTTAAGTGGAAGACAATCAATTAAGGCTTAAATAAACCCAAACGAGCAAACGTTAATGAGAGCTATCTTGTATCTGAAACAAATCCTCTTAACTCAGCCCCACTTAAAAAAAGTATTGTTTCCCTGTTCATGCTGAATGCATAGAGCCAATGTGGGGATAGGCACTGCGGGATGCGTCCTGTGGTCCAGGGAGTTCTGATGTCCAGCAGCACAGACTGAACTTGAGAAAGTGGGGCTGGAAGCCAACAGGACACTTTACTTGTGCTCATTCAGCTATAAACATCTGCTAGACCTCTACAGGTATCAGTAAGACAAGCAAACACTGATTGAAAGGCACTATGCCATGGCCATCAGCTTTGCCCTGGCCCTGGGGCTCTTCTGGAGCTTGAATCATCACCATCCAGAAGCTCACAGACTACTCCTGAACCAGGAAAATAAGAGAGCTCAAAGGGGAGTTTGAGGCTTTCAACAGTACCAAAGCAAGTGTGCATGCAAAGCTTTTGTACATAGGCTGTTCTTTGGGTTTGGGGCTGGTCTGAGGCACTTGGAGCAAAGACCTCGTTGGAAAGGAGATGATACTCGGACAGAGTGTGTGAGCCGTGTTCCTGCTGCCCTCTGGAGAGCCTTGCTGCCTGCCCACCGCCTGCACTCGCTTCTGCACCCTCATAAAATAGCCAGCACCCCATTTTTAGTGGCCTTTTGTCAGGCAGAGCGAAGCCAAGGGGCCGTCACGGTCCCTTTCTCTGCCTCATGTTCCCATCAGCAGAGCCGGCGATGGAGCAGCCCGCTGCCGAGCAGGAACTGAGAATTATCCCCCCCCCCCCCTTGAAGTGGGAGGGAAGGAAGTCATTAGCAAACTCATTTGTCGAACTTGTTCTCCTCAGAGTCATCTCTCCACGAGAGTCAAGTTCCTGGCGCCGGTGCCCAGCTGGAAGCGCTGCACGGAGCTGGCTGCTGTGGTGCAGGTCACAGATGCTCGCACAGCCCCAGAGCGGGAAGAGGGGAGGGGTTTTCCCTGTGATCCCAACTGCACTTCCCGGTTTCCCCATACCATTATAACCCACCCACCATGAGCATGAATAGGAGTGGGCCCCCCAAGGGGGCTGCTGGCTGCGGTGGGTGCCCATGGTCGGCTGCGCTTCACCCATCATGATTTCGAGGCAAAATCTGTTAATTTGCTTCTGAGAGGAAAGAAAGATGCTGCCTCGGCTACACTTGCCAAGGAGGAGTGAAAAGCGTCCCTTCAATAGACATAGGTTGTCATTACCCATTTTCCTTTCATAAGATAGAAGCAGGAGTGTTACATAGAGCTTGCGAAGAAGAAAGGAGTATAATGCAATTTCCACCTCCTTGTAAGAACATACTTCGGGTTTTCAGACCACTGCTGACAGGGAACAGGATTTGGGAAAGCACTGAGCAGGTTTTGTACCCTGAGAAGCTCTTAGAGGACTCTGAGACTCGTCTTCACTGAAGAAAGCCCCCCCTCTAATGGTCTCAAGGGGATTGTATAGCGAGGCAGAGCTGGTCAGCGGGGAGCTGGATGGGGGCTGAGGAGAGGTGACAAAGCTGTATTTACCCGGTACCAACAACCAGCAAAGGCAGCGGGGGAGCTGTCACCCTGAAGCCAGCATCTTGTATAGTATTTGTCTGGCTAGGCTGCTCTCATGCAGTTTCTTCTTTTTTTAAGCTAAACATTGCTAATCAGCTTCTTCAAGCTCCAACATATGTCCTATAAATATCCCTTGTGGAAGCAAAATCTGTCTCATATGTGTTTGCAAGACAAAAGGAAAAATTAGAAAGCATGAAGCCCTGACTTAGCAGCCCAGCAGCTTAACTAAGCTGGAGCCACAGAGCTTAATGAGAGAGGGAAGAAGTGCCTGACTTGGCTATGCCCTTGATACAGCCTCAGGGCATGCAAAGCCTCAGGAGCCTCAGTCCCCAACTGACATAGAGTTTACCTGAACTCAAGTGCTCGTTATCACCTCTTGCATCCCCCAGCTCTGAGGTACATCAGACACACGGCTCCTGCCCACCCTTGTCCCTCTGCTCCACTGCAGAGGCTGGGGCCAAAAGCAAGCGCCTGAGAAACAGAGCTTGCAGGAGGCTGGAAATGGCACTTTGCAGCCCCAGAGGCGCCTGCTTTGGGTAAGGGTGCTGTGGAATCTCTGGCATTCTTGGAAAGGTGCTGCCACTTCAGCAGTGCCATGGTTTCCCCAGGTTCACATCTCGCCGCTGCAAGGGGAACCAAGGTGGCTCCATTCCCAGGGGCTGGGAGGTATCAGCAGCGTGGAGATGTGGAACTAAAGCAGAGATCTCCTCTGCCTGTGCTGCTATAGGCTGCAGTGCTTCACGCTGCTCCCCATGGGGAAAGGAAAGATAACCCAGCCCTGGCTTGCAAATGGGGGTATGGGAAACAAGCGTGATGAGAAAGACACCACTTAGAGGTGTATTTTCTTCTTGAACCTCTGCAGGAGCAGGGGTTCAAGCTATGGCAGCAGTTTGAGGGCCCGGGGGACACGAGGTGCAGTCAGGGCAATAGCAGAGATTATTTCAATTTTGCTAACTTCAAGTTCCCAGTAACCTCATGGCAACTACATCCTGATTTAAAACCATGGCCCCGGCAGAGGCAGCCGGCGTTAGCAAACCCAGGCATGGCAAAGCTGGGAAGCACAGCTACTGGCTGCCGTTTCCCCAGGCTTTTCCAGCTCTCCATTGCTGGTACAGAAGGATAGCACTTGGATTCATCAGCAGTCCGTGCCTCTTCATGCCCCCGATCGTCTCTAGCAGGGCTGTTATAGATTCCCTTTGCTCTGGCTGTCTCATCAATCTCAGAGACGCTGACACTTTGGCGCGGTTTAATTTTGCGAATCTGAGGAATGAGCAGGCCAATTTAGTTCACATTTAATGCGTTTGTGTTCACACGTTGGAAAGCCTTTTTTTCTTCCTTGCTCTTTGCCTAAGGCCCTTATTATCTGTGGGTGCTATTTATCAACGCACAGCAGGTACATTACTGTAAGGTCTCTTCCATAAGTGATACGAAATAATCACTCCTGTTCCTCATCTCCTCAGTAGAAAAGCGATCCTGACTCCTGCATGTCAGTATTCCGGAGCCGCAGCAGTTCTCTATTACTGCAGGAGAAGTGATTGAACTCAATCTGCTTTCCTTCTAAATGGCAATAGTTTTATAAAACAAAAAGGAGGAGGAGGTAGAGCATTCCTCTTCCGCTCCAGGGCTGCACCATGGGGCTGGGAAAGCTTTCAGCAAGCCAGAGACACTGGGAATCCCAGACTGGTTTGTGTTGGAAGGAACCATAAAGCTCATCCAGCTCCAACCCCTGCCACAGGCAGGGACACCTTACACTAGAGCAGCTTGCTCCAAGCCCCTGTGTCCAACCTGGCCTTGGAAGTGCTCATTGAGGGCAGATAACTTCCAGTTTGCTCCCAAGGCACATGAGATGAAGGAGAAGTCTTTAATAACAGCTCATGCCTCTAAAAAAAACCAGTTCTCCTCCTCCTCTGCATGTGCCTAACAGCTCCTCACCCCCCTCCTGTCTGGCTTCAGGGAAGGGATGCACAAACCCTTTGTGCCGTTTTAATTCATAGACTCATACAATGGTAATTAAATGCTTGTTGAAGTGTCTTGAGGTGTCTGCAAACCTCTAAGGCACTATGGAAAGTGCATTTCCCACTGAAGTTACAGAGGGAGATGCAGAGGACCCAGGAGATGCAGAGGAGCAATAAACAGCAACCTGAGTGCTGGCTTTGTGGGACCCATGGGAAGAGCCGGAGCCCAAGCTCTGGAGCATCTCTGCATCACTTGTGCCCTTGGAGCGATGGCCCCTGCAGAGCAAAGGGGATGATTTAATGGGCTGCTTTTCCTTGAGCACCAGGAATGGGGGTTTTGTTTGCCTTTCTCCTCCCCCAGGGACTGAGGATTAATATTACCTTCCCATTAATTTATATGAGGACATTTCCAAATAGTAAACTGCCAATAAATTAGTAATGCTGATCTATAAAAGGAAAAATATGGTGTGTTGCGAGTTTATAGCCCTGTGGAAAAGACATTAAGCAGAGGAGTCCACATCACCGAGCGCTCCGAGAATGGGGGGCTGGATACCAGCCCCAGTGCATCATGTCTATTGGTAGCAGGGCTCACCTTGGCTGCAGGGGCATTCAGCATCCTCACCTCCGCCCGGGGTAAAACCTTATCATAGACTGATCCTGCCTTTGTCTCTTATGAAACTCTTGCAGAAACAGGCTCCTGAGCAGGTCCTGGGTGACGTGGGGCTGTGGGATTCCCGGCCTTGGATTGAACTCGTAAATGCTGCGGCTCCTTCCCTGCCCCGGGGGAGCACCAGGACCGGTTTGTGCACACGCACAGGCTCTCCCTGTAACCGCCGCTGTAAAGGTAAGTGGAGCTGATTGGTCATTTTCCCACTGAAGAGACACGGAATGACACAAACAGGATTTGCCATCTGAGGCAGCGATGCGCCCCTGCTGCTCTCCCGCACAGCGAGTGCCTGTCGGGAGCTCCGGTCTCCCCCAGAAATACATGGGGCAAACAGAGGACGGGACCCTCGTTCCTTCCCCGTTTTCCTGTGTGTTTGATGCGTGGCTCAGGACCCGCTCCTGGCTTGGCATCAGCACCACGGGGCATTCCCAGAGAGGCTTCTTCCACCGGGAGCAGCAAGGACGGGCGGGTTGGGTTTGGGATGCACCGCGGGATAGCCCTCATCCAGCACATTCCCTTCTCCAGCTTATCCCCTCCCCAGCCGAGAGGCGAACACGGATGTTAGCCAGCCCGGGGGGATGCGGAAGGGAACTTTGATCTCTGCTGTCAGGACCCCTGATGGCACAGAAGAAAAGCGAGCGCTTTCCAGTTGGTTTTTAAACATGCTCCCCCCCAGCGCCTCTTTGTCAGACAGGGGAAAAAGCACAAAACCGTTCTCAGCGACCAAACCAAAGGCGATGAAAAATGAATGAGGAGACAATGCAGCCTGGAGAGCCCAAACAAACGATGTGGAGCAAATAGTTTATTTTAAGATGCTAACAGATTTGCTCCAGAGGCCTGCAGAAAGCAGCCAGGTACCACTGAGGCAGCCTTTCCCTTATTTATGGGATAATTACAGTGATTGATTAGCCATGATCAGAAGTGTATTTATAGCATGGAAGTTTTCAGTAATATTTCAAGTAATTCACGTCCTCGCTCTGCTCCCCGTCCCTGTCGTCCCAGCTCCGCTTTTTGTTCCCCTTGAAACCTGCCTGCAGGACGATTTATGGCTTTGTTTGTGGGGAAAGCAAGTGTCTTGCTCCACAGAACAGCAGCAACACAAGCGCTCAAGGGTAAATCCCTCTTGCCAGCAGAGGCAGCCAGAAAACACATCTTCATGTTCTCCTGCTCCATATACCCATGTCCTCCCCCTGTGCCGGCTGCTTGATACAGATCGTGGTTTTCACAGCATCACAGAATCCCAGAGTGGTTTGGGTTGGAGGGACCTTAAAGCTCCTCCAGCTCCAACCCCTGCCACAGGCAGGGACCCCTTCCACTGGAGCAGCTTGCTCCAAGCCCCTGTGTCCAACCTGGCCTTGAACACTGCCAGGGATGGGGCAGCCACAGCTTCCTTGGGCAGCCTGTCCATGTGTTCTCATATGGATAATGCAATTCCTGGCCCCATTTCAGCACAGGGAAGAAGCAAACACTGTCCGAATGTAAGAAGTTTAAGACAAAACACCCAAATATTTGGTGTCTGACCCAAACAATCACTAAACCCTTTTCCCCCTGCACCTGCAGTTGTTTTCCCAGAAAGCAGCAATAAGGCAAGCGAGGGGCAGCTGGGAAGGACAGGGCAGCCCTTGGGGTTCCCCAGGGGTGCACTCACACCATGGAGCACAAGTGCATGCCTTGCACCAGGGCTTGTGCATGGACCGAGTGCCTGAGGCTGCAGACAGACAGGCAGCCAAGAGGCACATCACCAGTCACCTGCTTCCATGTCTGCTGCTTTCTCTTGCTCCCAGCCCGAGCTGCAGAGCTTTGTTTAAGCTCTTCTCCACTCTCCCCTTGCCTTTTTTTATCTCACAATAAAAAGAAGCCGTTATTTGCATTTGTTTCACACTGTACTCATTCACACACACACACACACACACACCCAGTACCTGCAGGGCTGGCAAGCAGAGACTTGAACACTGAGGGGGGAAAAATGGTCTTAAAGTTTGGAGGTCCTTAGGAGCTAAGGAAGCTGGAAATAGGAGCTGCTGCAGTCAAGGTCCTGCTGCAAAACGATTGATTCTCATCAGCTCCTGTCTACTTGCCTGCACAAATACCCCCTCCTGCTGCCCAGCTTCTCTCTGCTTCCCTCCTGTTTGAGGGCTGCCATAGGCTTTGGTTCTCTGCTTCCAAAAGGCCCTCTTAGGGCCAGTTGAACCTCACACACCCAGGCGCAGATTCAGAGCCTGACACTAATAGGATTAATGCCCAGAGACCCACAACAGCCCCATTACGGTTTGGGAATTGAATGCATCTTGGAGCAACCAGGGTGTAATTTGGTTCCTTTGTTAAAATAGCATCTCTAAAAAGCAGTCTAAAGCCAGCCCGTCCATGGGGGGGCTGACAGATGAGAAGGATGGCCCGTGTCCCGGGTGGCATTTGTTTTCATTAGGTGGGTGGAAGAGAGCTGGTGGAACCAGTGAGTGTGATCCTTCAGTAACCTCATTGGCTCTGGGAAAGGCAGACGCTTTCAAACCAGCCCGAAGAGAAATGAACCCCAACAAGCTCAGGCTTCCACATCCCTCAGCTGCTCGGTGGGGACTCTCAAATGCTGCTCTCCCACCACAGAGGAGCGTGTCCCTGCTTCCAGCCCGGCCTCCCCTCTCTCTCGGTCAGCTTTGCTAAAGCTTCTCCACTCGTCCTGCAAACCATCTTGGCACTAAAGTCATCCAGGGCAGTTTAATGACTTCTAGAAACAGGCTAAGCAGCGCCAGGCCCTTTTGCCTCCTAATTAGAAGCCCTCTTCCCTAATACTTTCGAGGTCACAGCTCCCATCCCCATGTCTAATTGTGCCTCTAGGCTTAAGACTGTGCGACTTGTCCGGCTTATGCACCCGTGCGTGCTTCACCCGCTCCTCCCTCTCCTGGCATCTCCGGCCATCTCCATCCTCTCTCTGCAGGAAAACCGCTGGGAAACTTTCCCTCTGCCCCATTTCTTGGCTCTGCACCCTGTTAATGTGGATTCTCCTTTGGCTCCAGCTCTCTCGGGACCCATTGTCTTAATGATGGACACCAGCATTAACAGGAGCAGCCCTAGGCTGCCCCAGAGACCCTCCTTCCCCACATTACACGTGGGAAAGGTGCCTCGTGGCTGCCTCTGCCACCTCGTCCCTCTGATGCCAGAGATTTCCTTGATAAGCTCCCTGTTTCCCAGGCACGCAGCACAGAGCTGTTTCTCTTGCGCTGAGCAGACAAGATGTTGAAATGTTTTCTCCTGTGATAACTGAAAGGGGAAGAAAACCTGCCCGCGACTGTTGTCAAGCCGAGGGATCTCTTTGTAGTGCACTGAATCATTTCATCCCCGATGTTAATTTCAAAGCAAACAAACAGAGCTGAATGCGTTTGATAGTAGAATTATTTCCAGTACATTTGAGGTTTTGTTGCTCTGGGTTGTAAAACAGCACTGCATGGCACAGCTGGGGGGGGGGCTGGTGGCGGCCCTGGGCTGATTGCACCCCATTGCATCCCTTTATACCCCACTGCATCCAGTCCTGTGCTGGGGGAGCAGAGGATGCTGCTGCTCCTGGGAGCATCCCCAGAGCATCCCTAGTTCTGCAGGCACAGCAGGGAAGGTTCATTACCATGGCAGATGAAGAGTTAAAAACCGCTCTTGAGCAATGGGAGCTGCAGAACATCAGCCCTGTTCCACCTCAAAAGAGCAAAAATGAATTGGAAAAGGGCAAAGTGCGTGAAAAGGCTGAATTGTAATAAAAGCGGCGTTTTAAAAGTGCCACCGAGAATTAATCGCGCTTTCCTTCAGAGCTTCCCTTTGTGGGCTATTCCTGGGAATCTGTGGACAGGAACACAAATAAGGAATTGGTTTTATTTTGCATGTAAACTAGATCAGGGGTGTAATTGCCCCGGTTTATAGGCAGACAGCTTGGGTCACCAGCATGCTGCAAGGAGCAGAGCCCTGCATCCCCCTGCTCTGTGGCTTTCGGAGGGGGCAAGTGGTCCTGGTGGCCAGTTTCGCCTCATCTCCAGGCTGGCAGCCGCAGGAGCTCACTGCAGGGGTGATGGAGGTGTTTTAGGGGCAGTGGGTCAAGGCAAGAAGTGAGATGGTGCTGGGAGAGCAGGAGGTGGCTCTGGTGTGAGCCCGGCACCACAGGGACCGGGCTGCCCTCCAGGCTGGCTAAATGCCTGAAGCTGGGAGCACTTCTCCTGCTCCTGGAGCCAAGGACTGGCACTAATGATTCCCAGCAAGAGGCAAAGTGCTCCGTCTGCTTGGCTTGTCGCTGCCCAGAGCGACAGTGGCCATAGAGGGGCCCACAGAGCCCAGGGCAGGGCTGGGCGAGGAGCAGAGATGCTCTCCTCCCTGTCACCTCATCCCACCTCTTCCCTGCTACCTGGGTTATTCCTGACACCCACCGGCCACTCACTCCTGAGTGGAAATGAGTTGCAGAGGATGGATGGGGAGGACCAGCACCAGTGGGTGCTTTGTCATCAACTGCTGCTGGCAGCAAGTCAAAGGAGCAGCACCTTCTCAGACACACCAAATCAATGCTATCGTACATCCCCAAGCCTTTAAACACCAGGCAGGCAGTTTGTCTTCTCTTATGGCAGCTAAGGAGCCTGGCCAGATTAAATAATCCAGCAGCAGTCATTGCAGGTCACTTCTGTCGTATTAATGGTTTCCCTGCCTAGAGCAAAGCAGCGAGGTGAGGAGCCAGGCTTGGACCAACGCCACAGCAGCATCGCTTGTCTGCAGGGGAGCCCTTGTCAATGAGCATCACAA